GTTGTCCCTGCCATTCCGTTTTCCTAAGTTTTTCTTCTTTCCTTTCCTCCTGTGCTTGCTCAGTTAGACTTTGAGTAATGCCTGTTTGGGGCAGGTCCCAGTTCCTGGTTGCTTTCTTCAGGTTGTGTCCCCCCTCTTAGAATTCTTTGTAATGCTGGCTTAATGTTTATGTATTCATTTAGTTTTTCTTTGCTATTAAAAGTTTTCAGTTCTCCATCGAATGTGAATGCTAGCTTTGCCGGGTATATCAGTCTGGGTTGGCAGTTATTGGCTCTCAGGGCTCGTATAGTGCTTTCCCAGGCTTTTCTTGCATTCATTGTTTGTGTGGAGAGATCTGCAGTGATTCTAATTTTTTTCCCGTTGTAGTATAGCTCCTTCTTCATTTTTGCTGCATGCAGGATTGTTTCCTTATTATTCAGATCCATCATTGTTACTATTATGTGCCTAGAAGTGTTTCTCCTGGGATCTTGCTTGTTGGGTGTTCGATAAGCTTTTGTGATGTAGTTAAGATGGTCGTTTTTGAGGTGGGGAAAATTTTCATTGACTATCTTGTTAAATAGGTGTTGCATTCCCTTGCTCTGGAATTCCTCACCTTCGTCCACTCCGATTATGCGAAGGTTAAATTTTTTAGCATTATCTGCTTGCTCTTGAATTTCCCTTTGGTTTAATTTGAGTGATTTTTCCATATCTGTCACTTTTTGGTCCAGTTGGTGTATTCTGTCTTCTGTATCTGACACTCTACCTTCCATTTCATTCACTCTGTTGACCGTGGCTTCTATTGTGGTTTGCATGATGGAAATGGATCCCTTTATGGATTCAATGTTGGTTCTCAGAGTACTGATCTCACCTCTCAATGAGGTGATATCAGTATGCATTATCTCTAATTTGGCGTTTATCTCACTTCTTACTGAGGTTTGTGCAGCTTCTATTTTTGCATCCAATTTTTGTTTGATATCCTGTATATCTTTTGATAGTTCATCCTTGTGCTCTTTCAATTTCTGATCCATTTCTCGCTTTATTTCTTGAGTCATTGCCTCCAGCAACCCTTGGATGTAGTTTTTGTCTTCCATTCCTGCTTTGCTTCCACTGGGGCTCTCCCCTGCGTGGCTGCTGGCTTTTGAGGTGAGCTTGCTGTCCTGGGTAGTGGTAAACCTTGTGATTTTTCTCTGTGATTTTCGCATGGGGGTTCAGGAGACTGCTCTTCAATCTTGTTTTGGTGTGTCTGTCTTTGCTTGGTTGCTGATTCTCTATTGGTAGAGAGAGTCTGTGCCTGATCTGGATTCTGTTGGGAGCCTATTTCCAGCTGCTATTCACTTAGGATTCTCAGCTCTCTGCTGTAGCAATTCCCGCCTTTGGAAGGGTTGAGCAGCCTAGACTGCTTGTGTTTGCTCCTGCGGGTGCTCTTGGGAAGATCAGTTGCTCTGGATGCACTCTCCCAAATACTGGAGTCTGCTATGGGCTCCTGATGTGTTTTTGTTTGTTTTGGGCTGGTTGTGGGCTTGAACTCTAGGTTTGGGTGCTGTCCCTCAGCTCTTCAGCTCAGGGCTGGCACCCTACCATTTGAGCCACAGCCCCACTTCTGACCCTTTTTGCTTTGTTCAGGCGCCGGTCCCCTGGCCTGGTTCCGGCCCCAGCCTGGAGCGCGCTCGTTAGGCCTGTGCTAATGTGTATACCACCTTGGTTATGCAGCCTGGGGGACACAGTTCAAATTTCTTCTACTGTTGGTAGTCTTGACCCAGGGGCACTGTTCCTGGCTTGAGCATTTAAGCTCCCTTCCCGGGGCGCTCTTGCTCTGGCCTGGCCAGCAGAGTGTGCTCCACCGGCTGGTGGGGCTCTCGAACAGTTCCCAGTTTTAGTGGGTCCTGTGGTCCGGGTGTTGGGGTAGGGAGTCTAGGTCAGGGTCTGGGGATTCCCTCCAGCTCTGGTCTCCCTTGATGGATTCCCTGTCCCCTGATGGGTACTCACCCTGTAGGTCGTCAGTTGTTGTTGCAGTCCGTCAGTTGTTGTTGCAGTCCGAGTTCAGTTGGGGTGGTTGCGGGCTGGGTTGGGCGGTCCCCCGCCGGGTCGTTGCGATCGCGACAGGTCCCTTTGTGGCGCTGCTGGTGCCGGGCGGCTTTGGCGGGATGGAGCCTCTCCGCTCCGGTGGAGAGTGATGGGTGGGGTGGGATCCTCCTGGAGACTCCCGGCTGGTAGGTTTCTCTGTTCCTGGCGATCCGCTGTTCTGCAATCCCGTACCTGGTGATCTGCAAGCAGCCCCCTGTGTCTCTGTGGCTCCGGCAGCCCCTGCCGGGCCGGCTGGCCGGCGGCTTGGCGCACTGCCGCGCGGCCAGTAAAGGTTGGGGGAGGGGTCTTCGCTCTTCTCTGTTCTGAAATTCTTCTTTTCCTCTCTTTCTTTTTTTGTTATTTTCCACCTCTGGTTTTTCTCTGAGTGTTCGTCTTTTTGTTGTTGTCGGTCTCTTGGGGAGATTAAAGGTTGGAACTCGAACTCTCTTTTTGGTTGGAGAGAGCTGTGGCGTTTCCCTACTGCCCCGTCGCCATCTTCTACTCCGCTATTAATCTTTTAATGCTCAAAAAAAAAAAAAAAAAAGACAGTACTGTATTCCCAAAGCTCTTTCTGTTTCAAAAAACTAGAATCTGGGTGGAGTTTGCACCTTTTTTCCTCCACCACCTTAGAGTGGCAGCTCATATGATGCAAACATAATTTTTTTTTTCTGCCCATGTCCACGCTGCTCATACCAGGTGGAATTCCTTGCTGTGATGCTCAGCTTTATGAAGTTTGCACTGATTTCTCATTCTGTGGCATACACTTCTTCCCTGCCTCTGAAGGCCACCCTCCATCTCTACTCCAGGAACTCTGTACCCTTCTCTTCCCTTGAGGTGAATTGCTTACCTAACTACCCTTGCAGAAGAAGCACCCATCCCTCCTCGCCAAGGCAAATGCACCACTTCTAATGGCATCCTCTCCCCCAGAACTTCCTCACTAATGTGTCACAACTGTGTCACCATCTGTGACAGAGCATCTACCTCTGACAACACTCGCTTTGCTCACAGCCACACTTCTATCTTCTCTCCCTACCTCCAATCTCTTCCTTTCTAGTTCAGCAGGTCTGTCATAGTTGGGATATGAAGTGTCCCCACAAAAGGATCTATTTTGAAGGATTGCTCCCCAGCTGGTAGTACTATTAAGAGGTGACTGGTTCATGAGGGAGCTAACATCATCCACGGATTATGCCACCAATGAGTTTATAGCTGAATGAGCTGGTAGGAAGTGTGACTTGGGTGAACAAAGGAGGTCACTAGGGTTATCTTTAAAGATGATCTTGTCCCTGGCCCCTTCTGGGCTTTCTGCTTCCTGGCTGCTATGAAGTGAATAGCCTTCTTCTTCCATGACCTTTCACCACACACTAGCCCAGAAGCAATAGAACATCTGACCATGGACTGAACACTGAAGCTACTAGCCAAAATAGATCTCTACTCCTTTAAGTTGTTTGTGTCAGGTATTCTGTCTTAGCAATGGAAACTAATAAGAGGTCTAAGACATCAGCTTCTTCTGTAAAACACAGCTCTTTCGCTGGGTGCTGAAGGCTCATGTTTGTAATCCTAACTACTCACAGTTTGAAACCAGCTCAGGCAGGAAGAGTCTGTGAGACTCTTATCACCAATCAACCACCAAAAAAGCTGGAAGTGTAGCTGTGACTCAAGTGTTAGCCTTGAGAAAAAAACAAAACAAAACAAAACAAAACCAGGACTGGTATAAAATAAGTACATAAATAAAGGAGGTTAGAGACTTTGATCTCATGCATGGATGGGTATCATTTTCTCACGAAAAGTTTATCCTTCATCCTTCCTCTGTCTTGTGCATGCTCACTAGCCTCTGCAAGATATTATGACAGAGTCTTCGCCAGATGTAGCCACTCAATATGGGAGAGACTTTCCAGATTCCAGAACTGTGAGCCAATGAACTTCTAATGTACATAATTCAAGCAATCTGTGACATTCTGTTACAGCAGCAGCAAACACTCTTAAGACAGGTGTCTTCACAAACTTGTCAATGAAGCAGTTGGTTGGGAATCTTGAATTTGGTGGCTGGGTCCACACAACATCTAAACCTGACAGTCATCAGTATATAGACTTTCCAAAGCATGAAGCTATATGAGATTCCTAAGAAGTGAATGAACTAGAAAAGAGACTTGTGTCACCTCAGTGCTAAGAAGAGATAGAAATCAGCAAGAGACCATGAAGGAGCAAGCAGCCAGTAAGTAAGAGGAAGACTTTGAGGGCTGGGAATTCATGACTGTATTTAGCAAGATGGTGACCCTGTAATGTTGGCAAGAGCAGATTTGAGACAAGAGATCAGGACAAAAGCTGACTGGAATGGGTTCAAGCAAGATTTGGGTGAGAGGAAATGGTGATGCAGAGTCCAGATAGGTCTTCCAAGGCAACATAACTATGCAATGGGCCATGTGCTCCACAAGCTAGCCAAGAGAATTCTCAGTCAGGTGGTAGTGCACAATTGCTTAGAAGGCTGAAGTAGGAAGATTGTGATTTTGAGGCCATCCTGGCTACATAATGAATTCCAGGCCAGCCTAGGCTATATGATTAGACCAGTCTTTAATATCTGAGGTGTGGAAGGCAGGTGAGACATTCTCTTAATCCTTACATCAACCCTACGAAGTAGGTGCCACATATCATGCCCACTTGCGGTAAGAAAACTGAAGCTTAGAGCTGATGGTGTAGCTCAAATGGTATAGTAGATTACTATCTAGTAAGAATGAGGCCCAAATTTATCTAATTTTAAAGCCTATGATGGAGCCTCCTCATCTAGGAAGGAGGGTTTTGACCCACTCATTTCCAATGAGTCACTAGTTCTTTAGCAAGGTCGTAGGACTGCTCTAAAGGCAGTCCTTTTGGAGAACACGAAAGACAATTCCAGTTTTCCCAGCTGATGGCCTTTTATGAACTTGTTATTGCTTCATAAGTGGAATCACCACTGTACTGACCTGAGTTCAGAAGCACCGATCCTTTGCCGTTCTTTACATCCACTACCCAAGTGGCTTCTTTACCCCCAGGGCCATCCTTCACCTTGAATGCAAAAATACCACCAATTTTCTTCACAAACTGCTCACCTTCCTGGAAACAAAGAATAACACTGGGAGTTACATTAAGTCTCTCTCTCTCTCTCTAGTCTTCTCTCCAGTTAATTAAGGTTTAAACAGGTACATGACCCGAGAAGTTAGGCTGGCAAGAGTCTATAAGCTCCTGTAAACTATCCAGAAGTCAGAAAGGCAACCAGGCAACACCTTCTACTCAGTCAATGTCCTGTAAAAAATGGCTTTGCATGTACAAAGGAAAGGGAAGATGAGGGAGGCATGGCAATATATTCTGCTAAAATACCCTTCACTCCAGCCTCTCTAAAGGTATGAGGGGATCCATTTTCTGCATGTAAATTCCTTTACATCTAATTTTGGTTTTCCAAAGTTGTATGTGTGTGTGTGTAAAATAAAAAATCAATCTTTTTTTTTCTTTTGTCTAAGACCAGGACTCAAACTCCATATCTGACACTTTCACTCACAAGATGGCATTTTACCGCCTGAACCACACCTCCAACTACTTACTTTTGGGTCTTGGAGAATGACATCAACTTGGATACAGAAAACATTAACTTCACACCCCTATTTCTACAGATTAGTTCCTTTCTGCTTTCCTTTCTATTTTCTCCCTTTCATTCTCACTTGGTGACCTTCACCTTGACTTTTTGAAAAGGTGACAAAGGCTATGGAAGCAGGAGTCAGTTAAGTGATGACAATTCTTTGTGCACAGAGACTAGGAGCAGCTGGTAGGCTAAACAGTGAGAGGATGACGACAGACTCATACACGTTGCTTTTTTTGGAGGGATGGAGTGTGGTACTGGGGGTTTGAACTCGGAGCCTGGCACTTGCTAGATTGGTAGTATACCACTGAATCACACCTATAGCCTGACCAAGCTGGGCATCTAGCTGCTCAGGAGGCTGAGACCTCAGGCTCCATGACAGCCAAAAAAGAAAAGATTATAGACAGGTATATTTTATATAACCAATAGCTTTTGCTTATTAAGTTAACTCTAACTTAGTTCTTATCACAGTGTTGTAACTCACACACTCATAATCTCTTTTAAAAGTAAACTGCCAGAATTAAAAATTGCTGATTAAGACTGCATTTGGGGATCAGCACAAATTTGTGTTCCTGCTCTTCCTTGTGCTGCTTTAAATAGCTTTGGCTTTGTATTATCTTCTATCTGTTGTCATAACTCTACTTCTCTTTGTTGTCCCACTGAATTCTGCACCAGGTTGGGGGGGTGGTGGTGGAGGACATCTATTAGAGTCAGTGGAAGAACAGACCTTCTTCTATTGAGATCCGCTTGTCCTAAGGCTGTTGCTTTAGTCATCCCTGGTCCCCTCTCCTTAACTTGGGTAGCTCACAATACTCCTATTTGAGGGAAAGGAGAAATGGAAGCAAAATCTTGTCCCATGTACATGGCTGTCTTATAAGGAAGATTAGTTAAGAAAAACTAAAAAGCAGATTTCTTTATATATTCTGCCTAATCCATTTCATTTTGTGCCAAAGGTTTCACTTTGCTACCCCATTATTGTAATGATTCCCAAGTCACTGTCTTTGGTTAGGACTTCTTTCATTAGTTGCAAATCTACACAACTGCCACACATTATAAACTCAATCTGTCAAAAACAGTCATGCATTCCAAGTGGTTCCTCTTCTCAGCACAAAACAATGTTTTTTTCTTGCACTGAGCTCTGTAATGTATCTTTTAATTAAAAATATTCTGGGCCTGGGGGTCCAGCAACACAGACACACACAGACACACAGACACACAGACACACACAGACACACACACACAGACACACAGACACACACACACAGACACACACACACACACACACACACACACAGACACACACACACACACACACACACACACACACACACACACGGCTCCTAAAAGGTTTTCTATAGTAACACAGCAAATGTAGGTATTCTTGTTTTAGAGTACAGAACAGGGGAACATAACACTCATACATATTTAACAGTAAGCATGAGTAGCCACTTGAACTCAAGTTTGTAATAGGAAAGCTATCAGAGGCTCAGCACCGTATACTAGTTTAAGCTAGAAGTCTGGAAGGTATTCCGGACTCCTTTAGTTCCTCAGCTTTCCTTTCCACTCTACTCCAACTTTACAGCTTAGGTTCTATGATTCTGAAACACAAAAACAAGCCAAAAGCAAAACAAAGTTAAAAAAGTTGTCCTTGAGGGCTGGGAAGGTGGCTCAGTGGTAGAGCGCTTGCCTTGCATGCATGAGGCCCTGGGTTCCATTCCTCAGCACCACATAAGCAAAAAGAAAAGCCAGAAGTGGCGCTATGGCTCAAGTGGTAGAGTGCTAGCCTTGAGCTGAAGAGCTGAGGGACAGCGCCCAGGCCCAGAGTTCAGGCCCACAACCAGAACAACAACAACAACAAAAAAAGTTGTCCTTGAAAGGTTTCTAGAACAGCTAACATAGCAAATGTAAGGCGCGTTATTCTCATTTAAGAAAGGAGGAATACTGAGAAAGCAGCAAAGGATGCTTATGTCCTTTTCTATTTCCCTACACTATTCCATCTTTTCTCTAGCCTGTATGTACTGGAGGTCTGGAGCAGAAATTGTTCCCTTTATCTTGGTCTAAAGAAGGGATGTCATTGTTTCTTCCCAATGAAAGAGCAATTTTTATAAACTTAAACTAAAATAAGAATATCATTCTACCATACATTTGGTTAACAGGTCCTTCAAAGACTCTCTAGGCCTACCTAAACGGAAACCCACTTAAGAAGGGCCCTTGATGGAGCTGGGAAGGTGGCTCAGTGGTAGAGTGGTTGCCTTGCATACATGAGGCCCTGGGTTCAATTCCTTAGCACCACATAAGCAGAAAAAGTCGGACATGGCACTGTGGTTCAAGTGGTAGAGTACTAGCCTTGAGCTAAAGAGCTGAGGAACAGCACCCAGGCTGAGTTCAGGCCCACGTCTGACAAAAAAAAAAACTTAAAAAGAAGGGTCCTCGATGACCTAGCTCATATATCTTTTCTCTAGCCTTTTCCCTCAAGAATATCATCTAAACTACATTTATACTGTTCTATCTACATTTCTTTTTCTTTTTCTTTCTTTCTTTTTTTAATGCTAGTCCTGGGGCTTGAGCTCAGGGCCTGGGTACTACCTCTGAGTTTTTTTGCTCAAGGCTAGTACTCTACAGCTTGAGCCAATAACTCCATTTCCAGCTTTTTGTTGGTTAATTAGAGATATGAGTGTCACAGACTTTCCTGCACAGACTGGTTTTGAACCACAATCCCAGAGCTCAGTTTCCTGAGTAGCTAGGATTACAAGGCTTGATCTATGGGTTATGTTTAAAATCTATAATGTATTAAATCTAGAATATAGGCCTGGCACAGAGAAGATGTAGGCAAATGTCAGGACACTTGTTGAGCCATCCAGTGTCGGTGTTAATTCTTTTGTTTTCACTTGGTTTCTTCAGTGGAGCTCAATTACTCTTTCATGTCACTGAAGCTTTATGATTTTCATTGCCAAATCTTATAGCAATGGTTTTTGCATATGGACTGGTCACAGAGACACACAATGAGCATGCCTCCTACCCACCTTTCTGGGATAGATGCAAATATTTTGTGTTTGCCTCATTATCAAGAGGGAGAACTAAGCCGGGTGCTGGGGGCTCATGCCTTTAAATATAGCTACTCAGGAGGCTGAGATCTTAGGATAACAGTTCAAAGCCAGCCTGGGCAGGAAAGTCCATGAGACTCTTATCTCCAATTAACTACCAGAAAACCAGAAGTGGCACTGTGGCTCAATCTGCCTGTCTGTCCATCCGTCTGTCTGTCCTTCAGTCTGTCCATCCATCCATCTGCCCATCTGACTGTCCGTCTGCCATCGGTCTGTTTGTCCATCTCCCTGTCCATCCACCCATCTGTCCAAATGTCTATCCATGTCTGTCCATCTGTCCATCCAGCTGTCTGTCCGTCTGTCCATACATCCATCTGTCCACCGTCTCTCTGTATGTCCATCCGTCTGTCTGTCCGTCTGTCTATCCATCTGTCCATCCATCCATGACTGTCCCTCTGTCCACCTGTCCGTCTGTCTGTCCATTGGCCCAACTGTCTGTCCTTCAGTCTGTCCATCTATCTGTCCTCCTATTCATCTGTCTGTCCATCCGTCTGCCCGTCTGTCCATTGGTCCATGTCCGTCCATCCATTGGTCTGTGTCCGTGTGTCTGTCCGTCTGTCTGTCTGTCCGTCCATCTGTCCATCCATCCATCTGTCCATCTATCCATCGTGCTGAGTAAGTTGACCCTAGGCTTATTGCACTGTGCTCATAATTTGAGAACAAGACTTCATGTTTCTTTGACCAGACATATTTATGGAAGCTGACTGGAAATATCAGCCTCTAAATACTGCATGTTTGCTGTTAGCCAAATACCTCTTCCAAGCACACTGGGAATGAGGCTTTGGCCATGGGAACATAACAGCATTTCACTGGTTTCAATGCTTCGTAAGAAGAATTCTGGATTCTTGAACCCAGTATGCCTATTGATGCTCCCTAGAAATATCTGCTTCTGAATACTACATGGTTTTGTAACCTCAAACAACTTCATACCTGTCATAAGTATACTTTACCACTTTTTTCAATCTCTCCCAGTTTCCCCCTCCCATCCCCGTCCACAAATCATACAGTTCACTTTCAACATAGTATCAATACTGAGTTTATCTTTTAGCATACTCAAAGATGTATAATTGGGCTGGGAATGTGGCTTAGTGATAGAGTACTTGCCTAGCATGCATGAAGCCCTGAGCTCAATTCCTCAGCACCACATAAACAGAAAAAGCTGGAAGTGGCATTGTGGCTCAAAGGGTAGAGTGCTAGCTTTGAGCAAAAAGAAGCTTAAGGACAGTGCCTAGACCCTATGTTCAAACCCCAGGACTAGCAAAAAAAAAAAAAAAAAGATGGTAATTAACATCACTAATGTTGTGTGCCTACAGGTACTTGAGTTTGAACTCAGGGCCTAGGCCATGTCCCTTAGCTTTTCCTGCTCACTTGGGCTA